TTCCTGCTGTTATTAGAGAACTGGAAGAAAGATATGGGGATGAAACAGTCATTGTGAACGCTTTCATAGACAAGGCTCTTGACTGGCCTGCTATTAAGGCTGATAACCTAAAGGCCCTTGACGAGTTTGCAGTTTTTCTGTCTGAGTGTAGGAATGCTGTAAAAAGTGACATTCTTGACTATATGGAACATATCAAGAGACTTATTGCAAAGCTACCCTATCAATACCAAGAGCGATTCAGATCTATTGTACAAAAACTCAAGGAGTTTGGGAAAAAAGTGCTGTTTTCTGACTTTGTCACATTCCTGCAGCGAGAGGCGAAGAAGGCCAATGATCCTATTTTCGGTAAGGATGCCTTACAGAGTAAATTCAAACAAGACAGCACTGGTCAGAGATCAACGAAACCCCAGTCAGTAAAATCTAAACTTACCTTAGCCACTGAAATCACTTCAGGAACCACAGGTTCACTCCATGTTGAATCAAAGTCCAGTCAAACTGAAACTCAAGCATCTATGGGCTGTATCCAGTGCGGATCCAAGCAACATGTTCTCAAATGAGTGTGATAAGTTTGTAGCATCACCTCTACTGAAAAGAGTTCAGTTTGTCAGAGACAATGGAATTTGTTTTAGATGTCTAAAGCAAGGACACAGGAGTAAGTTTTGCAGAGGTAATGTCTCATGTTCTATCTGTCACAGAAAACATAACACCTTACTTCATGATGAGAATCTAAGCAAGGCAAACCGCAAAGAGACCACAGCCTCGTGTGTAGGAGCTGGTATGGGGGTCGGTGAAAATACTGATGCTATGTGTACCATGGTAATAGTTCCGGTTAAAGTAAAGAAGAAAGGAGGCCTGCACACTGTAGAAACCTATGCATTCCTAGATCCTGGGAGCAGCTTTACATTTTGTACTGATTCTCTAATGAGAAAGTTAGGTGTCAGTGGGAAACCAATGAACATTGACATTGAGTCTATTGGGAAACCATGTTCTATGAAAACATTCACATTAACTCATTAAGCCCGAGAGCCACCTAACTACTCAACACCTGGAACCCCTCGCTGATTGCCCACTCGCTGTGCCGAGACTAATTAGTGCTAATCACACCTGATTTCCCTGGCAGGTTTCGGGGATGACAGGAAACTGTCTAGTCGTACAAACAAGTCCTGATTGTTTAATTGTGTCGTAAAGATATATGTTGAAAGAAAGCAGGTGTGAATACATATCGTGTATTGCAAAGTTTTATGTAGACCTTTGGCATCTTGTACATTTATATTTTATCACAATATGCATGTACTCTTTGTATGTAAGAGATGAGACACACATAAACAAATTCTCTCTTTCATATCATTGTGTGAGGTTTAATTTTACAAAACATCTATGACAGTGACAGACTGTAAAGAAGAATTTACTTACATACTTAATAATCTTCGACGAAAATAGCGTTTTTGCCGATATATTTCTAGTGTATACGAATTATTTTAATGAAAGTACTAGTACGCTAGTCTGTGACTAACATAGAGCACATTCATAGCTTGGCACTTCGTTTCATCTAGATTTAATGCAGAAAACATACTTGACCATACAAACATACATATAAAAAATGTATACTACATATTTCTTGCATAGACATAAAACAAAGAGTCACGTGATAGGGCGTAATCAGATTTCCCGAATAGAACGTTCGGTATCTCAACTGTTCAATATAGTGGCTGGTCATATGTTATCTGTGACCAATCGTATCATGAGATAACTGTCACAGAGGAAAGGACGGGTGATGGGGCTTGGGCGAAATTTCTGATGAGCACGTTTGGTCACTCAACAGCTTGGATAGAGATTGATTATTGGCTATATCGTTGACCAGTCGATATGCTGGGTTTTGGCTTTATCAACTCAAGCTAACAGTTTGTGTATTGTAAACATACACACTGGTAACGATGTATGAAATATACACATAAGACAAATAGGAGTAGATAGACACTTCGGCGAGTATATTTGTCCTCATTTTATTGTTTTTCGATAAGTAAAACAAAACGATTGAAATCCAACCATCGAGTAGAGATAGTATTTATTTTCATATACATTTTACACACACAACTAGTACATAAAACATAATGGTTTGCTGTACATGTAAGTATAATCTTCACCTTGATACGAATGAATATCCAAACTAAAGTACACATATTACAGAATTCACGAAGTGACACTATACTGAATTATTATAGTGTATAAACTTGCAGTTGAACACACCCCACCAAATATTTATGAAGGTGGGTGTGCCTATATTTACACTGAATGCAAACGAGGTTCATAAGATTACAGATGTGCATGCATGCATAAACATTACAGAGAGGGGCGTGACTCCATAAAGCAAGTTGTCCAATGATATGACAGCGCATCTGTTTATTTTACACTTGTCACGGGACAAACCTTTCAACAAGGACGTAACTACATATGCATTCTACCGAAGGCTGTTATTTCAAGGTCGAAAGAGGTGTTCCATTATCTCATTACTGTAATCTGATTGAATGAGTTCATTGATACACGTGAATATTACACCGGATTTGATAATTACAGAGATCAAATGCAAATGTTTTACACAATGCTCATGTAAATTGCATAGAAAACTGACAATTCAAATCAACATGAAACTTTCAACATCTTGAACAAAAATGCTTGAAATACCTTTGTGGTTTACATGTCATAACTTATGGTATTACTTCTGTTTATGTGTGAGAATGTTTTGAATTACCAATTTACTGTGTTTTGTAACAAACGTAGTAAAAGATTTCATTGTTGTAATAACACTGACATGTATATATATTCGATGCAAAGGCGTGACTTATCACTTTATATTCGATTAGGTAACATTATCAACTTTAGATTATGGAAAATAACTAGTTACAATTCAGTAAGCTTCAAATTAGTAAGTTAAATTATGTCTAATCTATTCGAGCTTGGATGTATAATTATTTGTGTTCATACATTATGTTTCATTATATGAAACATGACAACATAATAATACCTACAAAGTAAATTCAAACTCTTCTTTTGTGTTTGAATTCTTTGTATGTCCTTGAAATTTCGTATATTGTTTCCTATTTATTAGGAAGTTGAAGAAAATATTATCTTCAGTAACCTCTAAACCATTACATCTAATTCAATCAATGTACATACAAAGTATTTTAGTATCCATTCCCAATGAAGAGTACCAAAGCTAATATTTGCTCAGTACTACTAAATTGGTTGAAATAATAGGTACAGTGCGATTTTTAAAAGTACAACACACATGTGCGTTTCTCGATGAATAAGAGGTGCTTTCTGTTGACGAATATATGTGGCTCTTGCTGTGAGAAACTGCCAATTACCTGCCCCATAAACACGTCACTCGCTGTGAGGAGCGGATTAATTTGCCCCATATATGCGGCTCTCGGCCTTAATGAGTTAACAGGAGCACAGGTGTGTGACATGTCACTGGAAAACTGCATAGCTCTTCCAAAGGTGTACACGGTAAAGAAATTGCCAGTTTCTAAAGTCCACATTCCTACTGCCGCAGATGTTTCAGCATGGCCACATCTTCATGATATTAGGATACAATTGGATGCAGATATTGAACTAATCATAGGAAATAACGTCCCAGGCGCCTACACACCCTTTGAACTAAGGACAGGACCAGAACAAGCTCCACATGCAACTAAAACTAGGCTTGGTTGGACATTATGGAATATTGTACGTCATGCAGACAATGAATATACACAGAGGTCAGTGTGTTTTGTCAACAGAGTGGAGGTATCTGCTGTACATGAGGCTGAGGAACTCAAGCATTTGGATAGATTAGTACACGAAATGTACCATGCCGATTTTCCAGAGAAAACGATTGGTGATGGAAAGCAGCACTCACAAGAAGACAAGTTATTTCTAAGGATTATTGAAGAATCAATCGTACTCAAAGATGGACACTATGAGACTGCACTTCCATTTCGGAACAAAGATGTCCACTTTCCAAACAACTACCCATTTGTACTGAAGAACTTGTTGGGGTTACGAAGACGTCTTGAAAAGAATGACAAGTTCAAAAGCGAATATGATGCCTTTGTGAAGAAAATGCTGGAGAAGGGCTATGCGGAGGCGATTCCGAGTTAGGAACACGAACCCTCTGAAGGTCGAGTATGGTACATCCCACATCATGGGGTTTACCATCCTAAGAAGCAAAAGCTGAGAGTAGTTTTCAATTGTACAGCTACACAATTCAAAAGGAACTCAGATACAAACTTGATGGTGTTAAGAACTTGGGTGGGGAAGAAGTGGCCTAGCTAGGCTAGAATCTCCCCACTTTTCATAGAAAACAGAACAGAATATCCTAGTTTCAACAGGGGAGAAAGTTTGGCCTAGGGGGGGAAACTTTAGCCAAGCCCAAACTTTCCCCGGGGTAAGAATATCCCAGGACAAAACCTCCCCGGGGAAAGTTTAGACCTGGGAAGAAATGGCCTGCTACACCAGGTCATGCATATGTAGAGTACCGGGTAGCTCAGGTCAAGCTGTAGTAGTTGGGGAGATTACTGTTCCTATTCCCCAAGAGATAGAACAGATGTTATATTCAAATGATGAGTATGTTGTAACCATAACAAATAATCTAGTCAGAATCTTGGCTATCTTTATGCACTTAGAGTGGTGTTTACCAGGCTAAATTTGGTCTCAAAACTGCACTCTGGTGAGCAAATTTCAGTCCCACTGTTTTATGAACAAAATGTCAGATTATGAGAGTGTGAGCATTTTTCTGAAAGCTTGCAATTTTCTGTTTGGCAGGATACAAAGTTAAATCCCAGCAGAGGGATGAAAGGCGATAAAAGTATATGCACTTCAGAAACATATTTTTTGTTATCAGTTGTTTAATCAGAGATATGTGCCTGCTGTTTCAAATCTGTTACCAATGATAATAAAGTAAAATTAGAATATGTAATTACTTATCAGTGGACAATTCAAAGAGGAAATGGAATACTCACCCTGGACAGTTCTTCCAGTTTGCTTTTTGCAAACTCGAGGCTTCGTCGTTCAACGTGTTCGTGAGGTGTGTGGGCAAGGAGTTCGTGCAGAGTGATAATGTAGCGAGGTATCTGTCATAAAAGTTACTGATATTAGCCCAAGGAAGATACATGTTACAACATACACCCAAACGCTTAAAGTTTGTTTGGGTGAAAATGATACCAAAGAATCACAATCTAACTACAAATCTGTTCATGATCAAACATTCATTTCAAAGCAGAATGTAATGAAAACTTCAGACTAACTCTGGAAAAAAGTTTCAAAACATCTCCAAAATAAAAAAGTTACTTAACAAACTATCATCATTTTGTTTTGATTTTCCATGTGACGTTTTATGAGGATAAAGTAACAGTAGTACTGTTTGAGGAACAGCCTCAAGGGCGGGAAGCACGTGCAGCTAAGGATGTTAAAGGTCACATGCAACCAAAAAATCAAACATAATTAAAACACAATTATCACTTATTCATGACATATAATATGCATTGCTGATTATGAAAAAACAAATAAACAAAATTATAATCGATAATCGCAAATCAAAAGTGCAATATTTTGTACTTGGGTTTACCTCCCTCGAAACGAAGCAGCCGGATACCGAACCCAGTCAGAGCGGGTGGGTGTGCACTCAAGTGTAACGGCTGGTTCATTAGCAGATGCCGCCTTCACGGCTCATGTGTGTGTGTATATATAGAGATGTTGGGTTTTGTAAATACATGCTCATTTTTTGTGTATAACATTTTGCAATCAACAGACATCATAACATGTCATGTGTTCAAGTATCACACCTGCCTGTCTGTGTAATTACATAATGTGACAGAGACCGAACTCGGGCCATAAATCAATGCGTTTTGTTTATGGTGTATAGCCTGATTGGTGTTAAGTTCAAATTGCATGTGGTCAGTGATCGCAGTTGTGTATTGAATATTGTCATTAGCAGACAGGCAGGCAGACACACAGGTGTCAATAAAACAAGACATTGAGTTTTGTCTGTGACAGCTTACATATCTATATCACAGTTAGAAATTGTGTCAACGCTAAATAATGACATTGCTTTTAAGTATCGAACTGAGAAAGTGACTCGGTAAGAAGAACGTGTGGTGAAATAGACAAATGAAATTATATAAACAGTTTATTTACTGTCATAACATATAAAAGCTCGGCTACTGTGAGATATCAACAAAACATTATGAAAATAGCTCACACCAAAGCCTTCACCGAGTATTCACCAGACAGCCCGCTTCCAAGTTGCGCGAACCTATTTCACTGTGCACGTGCTATGAGCGCAGCCCAGCTGTTGAAACCCATATTCCCCAGAAAAGTCTGGGGAAAATAAGTGAAACGTTTGAACTCCGATTTCGCGCGTTTTTTTTCATCGCGTTATTTTTCAACTTTATAAGTTGAATTTGCATTTTTGACGCTTTGTTTCGGTAAGTCCATACCGAAAGGTATCAGAATCTGCAAAGTTGTGTTTTACGTTGCATGTGACCTTTAACATTAAGGGGTTGTATCAAAACTCTTCTGGACAGGAATCTGAGGAAATTCCTGATTCACTTTCACTAATCTCAGATTGTACATTTATGCCAACTGGTTGAATGGTAGCATAATCTAAACCACTCTTTATCCTGTACTGATTCTCATTTTCAACTCTCTGTACAGTTTTGCCAAATTGCTGGTGTTAGTTTACTTATAGCTTTTTGTACTTCATTTTGAAGGTATGAACATGGTCGCGACCCACATCAGATTTTAGGATACCCCAGAGTAAGTTCTATTGGATTGAGATCGCAATGGAAAGGCGGTAAACATAAACTTTCATGGCCATGAGCTTTGAGATATTGATTTACTCAGAGACCATATACCATATATCGCTGATCCACTTTACATATTGGAGTTGTTTTGTTGCTCTTTATTATGTCATACAAAACAGGTTTAGATGCTTTTGATGGAAATGGAAGATCTTTGTTTTCTAGCCATGCTACCATATCACTTTTCCTGCTGTTGGATGTTGGAGCTTTTGCATCTGGATCCTGCACACAATGATATGGTGCATTGTCCATAACAATTAAACATTTCTGAGGAAGTGCTGGCACCAGCTGGTTTTTTTGCACCCAACTTGGGAAAACTTCCTGATTCATTTCAGTGTGGTAATCTCTTATATCTTTGCATTTCGCCTTGAATATGAGTGAACAATCAGGCAGAAACCTCACACTTTTACAACCTGCGTGTAACACAATGAGTTGCTCACTCTTGCCCAGTGGCAGTTTCCTGTTGCATGATTCTGCTGAGGAGCTATCTACCCATTGTGTGCTTGCTGTGTGGCTGGTGTTCCCCCATGTTTGATCCAAAAACACTTGTTCGAATCTCTTTTGACGTTTTTATCTGATACTGTGTATGTATGTGTTGCTTAATCACACAATGTGAGCTCTTTCACACAGCACCCACCCAGAATCTATTTTGGCTATAGTCTTCTAATAGCATTTCTTACTAACTCTTTCTGAAAACAGTCAAGTTTGTCAACTTTTAAAAGTGGAGATTTTGATACGACCCCCTCAGTTGTGCCTGACTCGGTTGCACGTTGTCGTTTAACAAATTTACCCAGGGCTATTAAGGTGACCCCTTTCACTTTGCCTTAAAAAAATCATAAACTTTGGAAATAATGGACTTTATGTCAGAGGTGAATTTCATTTTCTCATGTACCGTGTCAATAAATTGATTGGCTATGCTTGATGTGACGTCACAATTGCAACTTGCTTCTCACTCTTGAGGCTGTTCCTCAAACAGTTTACTGTTACTTTACCCTTGCAACACTTTACATGGAAAATCAAAACAAAATGATGATAGTTTGTCAAGTAACTTTTTTATTTTGGAGACAAACGTTAAGAAATTTTTTTCCAGAGTTAGTCTAATGTTTTCTGCGTTGAAATGAATGTTTGATCATGAATCGATTTGGTGTTAAATTGTGATTCATCAGTATTATTTTTAATCAAACAGACTATACCTGTTATGCTTTAAATATGAACAGTAGATCTTTTAGACCCATTCCATTCAATTCTCATATGTAAGTCATATTAACCATGTTGATAAAACCTATCAAGATATAATTCTTGATCTCCCTACAAGGTTTTGGATATAGGGTCCAGAGAAATTATGAGAACTTGATACATTGTCAGTCAGGTTTATCTGCCCAGGATCACTTCTCTAATCTGATCTGATATTTAACAATGGAAAAAATTGAACTTAACAAAAATATATATATCACAAAACACACTGAGTCATCTACTATTCTCTTAAGGCAGTGCTCAGCAAAGCGGCAGACAAGATAATAAAATAACTGGAGAAACAGTAACTGAAGAAACGAGTGCCACCTCACTATAGCTTACCTGATTATTTTGGCAACAGTGGTAAACAAAACAAATTACTTTTAACAATGATGTTGTGGATAAATTGACAACTCTGAAAATGATTAACTTTATTTGAACAATATACCTTGGTAGTTACTGCTTATTATTTTCACAGTAATATGTTGCAACTTTACTGCAGTTTTTGTGGTCATACTGGGTAGGTATGTTTTAGGTGAGGTGAGGTGAAATTGGGTTTAACGTCGTGCTTGAGAATATTTTGCTCATATGACGATGTGCATGTGTGTGTATGTGTATGAGCGGCTGCTTGTACTAGCCCAGACTGAAGCTGGTTTTATAGTGCTAGCCCACTGAGATACCATGCCGCAGTGAAGCATGAATACCCCACTCAGACACATTATACTGACTCCTAGCTGACCAGTCCTTGTTGTACCCATTAATGCCAAGCGCCAGGCAAGGACCAACAAGCACTATATTTTAACGTCTTTTCGTATGATGCGGTCGGGGATCGAACCTGCGACCTTCCACTCTCCAGGCGGACGCTCTTACCACTACACCACGGAGGCGGTTAGGTATGGTTTAACCTATTGGCATTAACTGTTAGAGCTCAGCAAGAGGTACCCTACATATTCTCAGATTGTTTCCAGAGTGAAATCAAACAAAGGAGTTTGTCATACCCTGTTTTGGCCAGGTCTACAACTTAGGCCCCAGCACCACAGTGCTAATAAAATGGGAAAACAGTCTGCCATGGAATGTCTTATGAAGACAACTTGGTGGCTGAGGGTACAGATTTCAGAAAATAGCATTCCTTGGCCAATACACCACTTCAGTCATCACTTCTCTTAGACAGATATTTGATATCCTATCAATCGGCTGGTCATGCCAAATCCTGATTTTCAGTTTTGCTGAATATTTAGTTTGGATCATCACAGAATTTGTGGAATAATGTCCCAAAAATGTAGAGTTCAGATTGTGTTGAGGTCAAAGGCTCAGAATGCTGTGGTCAATGGTCTGGAGTGACTATGTGTTATGCTTGACAATATTAAAAACCCATAGCAACCAAAGCTCTGTAAACATAAGTCAACATTACATGTCCTGACCAAGAAGGGTTTCATATGCCATAGGCCGTAGCGAATCAGGAAATGTAGTTATCTTAAGTTAGTTGTAGATATTTGCTATACCGTAAACATATTATATATCGCGCAGATTTTATTTTCGCGCAAAATATTTTACCGTGAAAATTTATACTCATCGAAAATAGCTGGAAATAGCAATCAGCTGTGCACACGTATCCCGGCATTCAAGTTCAAACATGCACAATAATATAACGGGACAAATTCTGAGGCAGTCATCAGTAAAATATAATACAGAATACTATTATTTAAGCCAACGAAATATATACTAGCATTGTGTAATTTTAATTACAGGTTTTGCTCTATAAATGTAGAATATATACAGTGGAAACCTGATAAGTAAAATTTCAAGGGACTCGCCAAAATTGTTTACTTATCAGGTATTTTACTTATCCAAACTCATCAAAACCTGCAAATGACAACCATATGCATGTATATATATATGATATGTAACAGTGAACAACTTATCAGGGCTGGCCTCCAGTTGTCAGTGTATTGTCAACTCCTTGACGCCAGCGAGCTGTAAATAGGATGTTTGTTTGGGTACTGGAGACTGACATGACTGCCCCTCATGTCGGATTATGT